CCCGCATGTGGTATTTTGTGAAGAGCCACACTCAAAGGACCAAAGAGCCGCATGTGGCTCGCGAGCCGCAGTTTGCCGACCACTGACCTAGACCACTGTGACTGTGGGAACGTCCTTGCGGAGGTCTCACTGTACTCCCACGCTTTTTACCTGCTGTGGGAGGGGGGGGGCGGGGGAGTCACATTTCTAGCTGAGCTTAAGATAGGAAACACTTGGATTTTCTTCTTTGTGTTTCAAAAATTCTACTTCAGGTCACCAAGAAAATTCTTTTTATTTCCCTGAATCTACGTTTTGTATTGTGAAAGCAATACTTATTCCTTACCAAAAAAAAATTAGAGAAAAGCAATAAAAAGCCAATGTTACTCATACTTCTATCAAAGATACTAATCCATAACATTTTTATGTATATATTGCAAGTCTTTCCTTCATGCAAATATGTGTATAAAAGTAAAATGGAAGTGAAATATACTATATATAATATTTAGGGAATTGTTTTTAGATTAATAGCACATTAGGAACACCTTCCTATGTCATTGGATATTCTACATCATTACATTCAGTAGTTGCATAGTAATCTATTGAATGGAGTATTGTTTATGTAATCAATCCCTTATTTACATGTAAGATGTTATCAGGATTTAATTATGTGGAAACAGTCTCTCAACTCTGAGATTACTGAGGTTTCTCTAGATTAAATTGTTTCATCAGAATGGGATGGCATTTTTCCCTCTGATTCCCCCATTTCAGTGAGAGCAGTAGCAACAGCTGTGACCATTTATTAAGTGTTTGCTGTCTGTTAGGTACTGTGTTAAGCAATTTACATGTACACTCGAAGTGGGTAATATTATTACCCTCATTTTACAGATGAACAAATAGAAAGTCGGGAGAGTAAATAATTAACCCAGGAACACACACTTGATCCACACAGCCTGGATTCAGCCCATCTCCCAGACTCAAGTGTATTCCCTGCACCATAGCATGGTCCCTTGAAACTGTTCAAGTCCTTCTACCTAAAAATATGCATTAGAAACCCACTTTACTTTGTATCAGAGGAAGAAATACTCAGTATGTTTCTTATCTTATTAAAAATTAAAATTTGTCTTGACAAAGCAAGATCTCCTCCTGAGACCTTCAATTCCAACAGCAGTAGAATCTGGGGAAGAAACAGCAAGTTTTCCACAGACTAAACCAGCCATCTCCCTCCCGTGCCCATATTAAAACATGTAGCCTTAATATGACTTGATTGTCATTTAATTCTCAAGCAACAGTTTAGTGGCCATCCAAGTTCAGGGTTTTGTTCCTAAGTATGCCTGTGACATCCACGGGAACATTGAGCACCTTACCTCCTATCTCGTTTCGTTTTCAGTACCTATAAAACATGATGCTGAAGTGATAATTGCACAGTATATTTTTAGAGGACATTGAAACATTCAAGGATATTGATAATACCTAGAAAGACTAACAACGGCTAAAATTATGGAACTACATAAAGTATAAGACTACACCCAGAAAAAAGTTTTACAATAATAAAGTCCACTCGACGTGCTAAAAACAAACGTGTAATACTTTAGAATGTCAATAGAATGTTCAGAGTTGCTATTTCCAATGGACGATTGGAGTTGTTTAGGCACAGTGACCACAGACAACCACAGTTCTGTCCTCTTCCTCCTGAGACGTAAATCCATTTACACCAATGGAAAACACATGCAGATCAGCTACCTACAAGGTTCTTACTGTACTTCCTCCCTGAACCTCAATTTTCTAAGGGAAACATAAAAAATCCAGTCCTTTCAAGAAGTGACTCACTACACATTATTTCTTAAACATCGGAGAACATCTATTTTATTGTTTTCTTGTGGATCTGTGATATACTATGTTAAAAGAATTAGGCCTATAAAAGCATAGACTCATGAAATTTTAATTGTAAGAGGCCAGTGGGTGAAATTCTCTTACTTTCATATAAGCATATTGACTTAGAGACAAAAAACATATATATATAACAGAATTTATAAACATGATGCTATAGAACAGGGTTGGGCAACCCCTGGCACACGTGCCAAACATGGCACGCCAGTAACTTTTGCTGGCACATGAAACCCTCTCTTATAATCTTCCATATACAATTTTTTTCTTAATATCGACTTTTTTATTTTTCAGATAAATTCAGTATAGGTGCATCTTAGATAAATAATTTTACATAACATGTATACATTAAAAAATAAATGTATTTTTCATCATCACATACTGTGTTTTTGTCGCTCGAATGAATTTTATTATTTCTTCAAGGTTCTTCACATATGTACACCTTAAGAGATATCAAGTAGGCATAACATGTTCTCAAAAAATTAGGGTTGGCATGCAGAAGAATTTTGAGTCAGAGATTTTGCTGGTTTTGGTACGCACTCACAAAAAGGTTGCCCACCCCTACTATAGAAGATGACCATGATCATCACCTCTATGTAATCTTAATAACATTTTAAGTTTTGAGAACCACTGGCTGTTGCCGAGTTTCAGACGCCTGGGAGATGGCAATAGGTCACCAAGACCCGTAAAAACTGAGTGAGTATTGACTCACCAAAACCCACTCCTTTTGGGAACTCTTTTAGAAAAACAAGATTGATTTGACAAAATGAAATGTCTAGTGAGGAAAGGAACTATTACAGCCAAAACATTGACTTTTTTTTCTTCCCTTTTTGCTTTCCTTTGTATATTTAAAAATCCAATGTTGATATGCTGTGTTCCATCCATTTTTGTAATAATAGTACATACCACCCACAGTTCCACATTTCTTTTTTTTTATACATGAATATTTCTGTCAAGCTGTTCCACAGAAAAGGCATTTTTAGAACTAACATTTGTAGAAATTGTAACACCATAAAATTCACATTTGTGTTGGAGAATCGCTAGCAATGCCTGCAGTGGAAAAAGTGTGGTTCCAGGATGGTAATGAGGATGGAGGTTGTGTCCCAGGGGGTCACTGTGAAATCCTACTAAGCATTTGAATGGTAATAAAGTCCACCAACACTGTATTTTCAGAAGAATCTTGCTGGCAGATCTCATTGTGGGCCAAGAAATAGACTAAGCACAGTTTGCCTCTTATTTGTTACTAGAGGCCCGTGCACTCAGGGGGTGGGTCCCTCAGTCCAACCTGTGCCCTCTCACAGTCTGGGAGCCCTTGGGGGATGTTCGACTGATGGCTTAGGCCCGCTGCCCTGGGGAAGCAGACTTAAGCCTGCAGTCAGACATCCTTAGTGCTGCTGTGGAGGCAGGAGAAGCTCCTGCCACCGCTACTGTACTCGCCAGCTGTCAGCTGAGCTTCTGCCACCAGGAGGCAGCTTCTGCCCCCTGGTGGTCAGTGCACATCATAGCGACCGGTTGTTCCACTGTTTGGTCGATTTGCATATTAGCCTTTTATTATATAGGATTACCTCTCCCTTCCTGCCCTACTCCTGCTTCCCCTCCTTGTCAGCTCACATGCACTCCAGCCCCTGCCTCAGTCACCCATTGCCCCAAATCTGTCCAGGATCACCCACAGGGTCTCCTCTAAGCCTTTCATCCCTACCCCAAATCAAACGTTGGTTCTATGTTCTGTCTCACTGAATTTGTGTTCCCTGGGGTCCTTTGAGGCAAAACCTAATAGTACAGTTATTTCTGATGTGTCTTCTCATGGGAACCAGCATGTATCTATCCCCCCCTCCATAGCATGGAAGGCACTACCTCTACAGTGGAGATCAGAAATAGAATTATACTTTTCAGTCTTACTGATGTCTATTGGATCCCTCCATTGTGCAGAACACGCTATCAGAGATGTAAAGATGAATACAATGCCATTAGTGTCCTCAAGAATAGTCTAAAGCAGGGGTCAGCAAACGTTGCCTATGAAGTGCCAGACAGTAAATATTTTAGACTTGAGGGCCATAGCATCTCTGCTGTCGCTCCTTAGCTCTGCCAGTCTGGTGCAAAAGATTAGGCTGAAAAAGTATACATTTTTGGTGGGTAGGAAAATCAAGATTCGGACTTCAGTCTTTATGCTTCCAAGGCCCTAAGCCCAGGGGTTTCAGTTATGAAACAGATGCAGTATATCCACTCCCCTCTACTGTGTCTACATGGGGAGTGGATATACTGTATCTCATGGTTTTTTCAAGTACTTTTTGTCACTAAGGCAAATGCTTAAGTCACCATATAATCCAGAGCATTCATTACAGAGTCTTGTTTATAAAACTGTTGTCATGACAGAAATAGCTTTGTTAATCTTTCACTCATCACAGGGAATGAATGTGTGTCAGCCTTTCCTGAGAAGGAAAAGGTAGTCAAGATGCATGGACTTGCCAGGAGTTGCCAGCGGGTCACCAGCGTAAAAACATTAGCAGGCTGAGAGTTCCTTGTCCAGGCTGCACTAGCTCTCCTCCAAATCCCTCCGTTCCATCTGAGGACTTGTTTATTTCGAGATTGGTTTATGTGCTGGTGAAAATTGTGTCTGAGAGTTGGACTGAAGCACAAGCAGGCACTGAATGATTCTGCCCCCAGTTTACTACAGCTTCATTTGTTCTTTGTTTATAGAGCCATTGCTTCCCAGTGATGGATGGGCCGAGAGCGAAGTACCTCCTTCTCCATCACCACTTCCCGTTCTGGAATTGGGCCTTGAAGATTACAGCCACAGGTATCGATAAAATGATATACCATAAATGTTCCTAGTTATGGTTTTTTGGGGAAAACCCAGCAACCTTATTTTAGCTCTGTTTCTTTCCAGAATGGAAATCTCAGAGTGCCTATAATTCCTTTCGAGTGAAGGCTTCTTATAGCTGATAGCTTCGATTGTTCGTATTTTGCTTCTTGGAATTTTTTAAGATTCATCATATATTATAAAATACTTAAGAAAATTGTTGGATTTTCTTTTGCCAAGTTAAAAACTTGGAAACAGTGGAAATCAAAGAAAAGTTATATGGGAAGCTATAAAGCAAAACTGAGAAGACATAAAGCTGGGGTTTTTTATTTTTTTCTTCTTTTGTAATTGGCAAACCCTAAAGGTATTTTAAAAAATAGCTGTTCCAAGAAAGTTAATGGAATCTAAAAATTAAAGCAATGCCATATATAATCTAAAATATTGCAAAGAGTGCCCAATGCTATATCCATTTTGTAATAGAAACCAAAAAAAATCAATATTTTTTAGAATCACACAAGCATGAGAGAGAGAGATTTGCTAAGCATACACACCATTTAACCAGTGGAATTCATAGATTTTGTTCTTCTGATGAATTTTAAAACTCATTAAATTGCCCCTTTGCTATTTTCTATATTTATTATGGCTGTTTAAAACTGTTCATTGTATTCTATTCTATGTCCCATGATAATCCTGTGAATTTTTTTTCATTTTTCTTGCAGCAATGCTGGTGTTATTCCTATTATACTTTTTATTACAATCTGCTAAAAATTAAAGCAACACAACAAGAGAATAGCTAACTCTATTAGCCGGCAGCTTACCTATACTTAGCTATCTCTGATTCCAACATTTTTTAAGTCAGCTATCTCACTCAAAGACAGTTTCACAAACTAAATTGATAATTGCACTCATGTTCTAGATCTGTGTCTCTTGGGGATTTTTGAGAGAGTATCTGGAGATATTTAATTTTGTGCGTTCATTTCCATTGCCTACCTCAATCCTGAATCAAAAATGACAGACTGGTGGCATTAAATATTCCTTTTAAAGAATACTTTTATTTATTCTACTTGAGTGTTTATCCTGTGTATATGTGCAAAACTGTTGGGACAATGCAAAGAAAAATCAGATGTAAACCCTACCCTCTAGAACAGCGGTTCTCAACCTGTGGGTCGCGACCCCTTTGGGGGTCGAACGACCCTTTCACATGGGTCGCCTGAGACCATCGGAAAACACATATATAATTACATATTGTTTTTGTGATGAATCACTATGCTTTAATTATGTTCAATTTGTAACCATGAAATTGGGGGTCACCACAACATGAGGAACTGTATTAAAGGGTTGCGGCATTAGGAAGGTTGAGAACCCCTGCTCTAGAAGGTGGTAGGCTAGTAGGTAAAAGTGACAAGCAGAACACTAGATACAAAGTGGTGTTTACAAAAGTTATACGGATAAAATGCTCTGGGTATCTAAGGAGGAGGAGAATGCTTCCAGATGGAGCAGCAAGAAAACATTATGGAAGAAAAGTGGCGTTTGAGATGAATCTGAACATGTGAGTAGGGTTTCAGCAGACAGGAGCATGTTATGACCAGGATTGGGGTGTGAGACACAGGTTAGGAAAATGGAGGAGGGTTCATGTTCACTGGAAATACAGGCTCTTCAGGTACCTTCTGTGGTAATTGTAGTGAAAGATACTGAGGACTGTCCTGGGGGCGGAGATGGGAGAAGCCTTCAGATTGTTACCAGTGAAAGAGGGACCAAGGCGGGTCTGCCCGGAACTATCTGGAAATAGGTTCTCGTGTTATCACAAGAAAGGCATTTCAGGGACAATCATGAAGGCGGATTTTAAGCAATAGTGGCAAGATTTATTAGAGCGAGCGCCCTTGAAAAGGCTGCCACACTCGATGAGGTGCTGCCCTGGCATTCAGCTGGTAGGTGGCATTCACTGCCCCCAGGTATACCATGCCTACATCCAGGACCAGGTTAGTTAAAGCCACCTCACTGCAGAAGAAGTCTAGCTTCAGATGCCACAGGTTTGCACTTGTCCCCGGGGCCCGAAGCTGCCTGCCTGTACCCCCACATCTGAGGCCCAGGAGTCTAGCTAATACCTTCCCCTCAGTCTGGCCTGATATCAGCACTGTGCCTAGGCCCTGCAGCTGCTAAAGAGACTGGGGCTTTTGTTAAGTTTACCTATATTTCCTTGGGTTAGGGGAGAGGTAAGCTTTCTTTCAAACTAGCCAATATTTTTCCTGGAACTTCCTGGGGCTATGCTGGTGCCTCCCCTATCCAATCTCTTTCCTAGATGTTAGGCTTTGCCCTGTCCAACCCCATCTTTTCCCCAGCTTTGTTTCCTCCCCTTTATGACCCCCTGAATAGACTTTCCCCATAACCATTTCTCCCTCCCCTTTAATCTGGGGAAGGGGGAGGGTTGTTCCCTGGGGCAATGGGAAAACCAGTCTTTCCTGCCCTCTGGGGTGTTAGTCTGTTTGGCAGAGTGTTGGAGGCTGTTCCCCTGTGTGACTGAAACTGTAGTTTCCAGATTTAATCAGCCTCAGGCAGGGTTCTCCCTTCTCTTTTTGTTAATCCCTAACTAGCTGCCTATGCTAACAAGATGAAAAACCTTCAGAGAGAGAGAGAGAGAGAGAGAGAGAGAGAGAGAGAGAGAGAGAGAGAGAGAGAGAGAGAGAGAAAGAGAGAGAGAGAGAGAGTTCAGAGATGTCACAGAGATAGAATGATTGAGAATTAGCAAGTGCCTTTTTAGATGCTTCAGTGTCTCCACAGATTTTTTTTTCTTGCCCTTTTCTATAAAGCTCTTTTCTCCATGATCTTGAAAAACAGATTATATTGGCCCCTACTGCTATAAATCTTCATCACATGCTTTGAAATAGTAACTTCCCTTTCTGTTTCCCCTCTCCCTCCCTAACCTTCTGTGTTTCAGCTTCAGTTCTCATCCCTTCCCTAGAATTGCTCTCTTCACCATCAACAGTAATCTCCTTTCAATGAAGAGTATGTCATTGTCTCAAACTGGATTCCTTTTTTCTCCTCCACAGTATTAGAGTCATTAATTTGCTCACTCATCCACCCAAAAGTATCTATGGAGCTCTAAGCTGGTCACTGCAGAAGGTTCTCAGATTGGAAAATATCCCTGCCCTAAGGAACGCAGCCCCCTCTTGAAGAGACAGACAAGTAGCCTGCTTGCTGAGCTTTAGATACAATCTGCTGTTGGAGCTTAGAGGGGTGGGCCACTAACTCAGCCTGCAGGTAGCGAGGAAGGTCTTACAGGAGAAGTAATGTTGAAATGGTCCCTTGGAGAAGAGAAAGGAGCTTAGGAGGCAGAGAAATGGTGGGAAGGGCAGTTTGGGTTAGGAAAACCCAAAGGAAGGGAGAGGGCCATGCAGTGCGTGCTCAGTGTGGCTGAAGCTTCTGGTACCTGGGGAAGAATCAATGGGAAGGGCATTGTCTGTCACTCTGTGGGCACCGGCTTCTCCAGAGAGCGGAGAAGCAGTGAAGGGTTTCAAGCCTGGGTGACAATATCAAGTCGAGTGTGGTTGGTTGTGGAGGATGCGTGGACAGAAGAAGCCCTAGACAAGGTTACAGTCCGGGGACTGGCAAGAGCAGAGAAGGGCTTGAATGGAGGGAAGAGCAGCATGGTGGAGAGGAACAAACGGAGCCAACGACATGTTTGAGGTGGAAGGAACAAATCTAAAGCTTTGAAACGCTCTCCCTCCTGGGATTTCCTGACCTGCACCATCCTGTGAGCTGCTGCGTTGCCTAGGTGACCAGCAGCAGTGGGGTTTGGATGTGTGAAACTTGGGGTGGAGGAAGAATTGGAAGGGATCCAGGATGGCTGAGCAAAGGAGGCTGGGAGGCCGTCCTGTCTTTCAAAATAAGTAAATAAATAAATGAACGTTGAAAGCCTTCTAAAAGGGAAAGCGGTGCTTTAGGGATGGAGCCAGTCTTATGAAGCAGAAAACTGCTGTTGCATGAAGAGTAAAAAACGGATCTGATCAAACCTAATGCCTGCACTTTGAACCGAAATGAAATCGGGGATTTACTGAACTTATTTGTAGCATTATATCAATAATTAGCAGACAGAAATTTAGAATATATGTGTCTGAGTAAAAGTAAATAAATATAAAGGAAATGTATTTTCTATAGTGATATCTCATGGCAAATTAACAGCAGACAGAATATAGTAACAGCTTAGACAATATTTGGTTGTCTATTTTCCTCTATCTTGATTCTAGCTCATGTCTCTGCGCGCTCTCGCTCTCTCTCTCTCTCTCTCTCTCGCTCTCTCTCTCACACACACACACACACACACACACACACACACACACATCTTTTCTCACTCAGAGTAGCCAATTGTTGAAGCCTATTTGTGGACACCTCAGACTGCTGACATGATTTTTAGCATGCCCCTAAAAACTTACCCCCCAGCTTTTATTTCAGACAGTTCTTGAACATTCATGGCCGGGTCCTACATGTCTGTCACATTCCTGATTTGCCACCACACTCAGGACACTGGTGTGTGTTTCATGCTACCCCGTTTATTCATTATGCAGCATAATTTGACATGGAGTATCATTTCTATCTGATAGATCCCCTGGTTGCTCATGCTGAAAACACAGCCTTTACCTACGGCACGTCTGTGGCCTGCTGTCAACGTCCAGCTTCCCGCAGCATCCACTGCGGCCCACTCAGCCATGAGCACATGCAAACTCCTTCAAGAGTAACATGCGTCATATTTTATAATCATCGTGTCACTCTCCCACTTGAAGAACTTTTCATATGTAGCATAAAACTGCAAACTGTTTTGCTAGTCAAACTTACATGTCTAACATATTGGCATGTTAACTAGTTCAGTGCTACACTCATCATTGAAGTGCTTGTATGCTCGCATTGGCTTGAATCCCACAGTGCCATCTTAGACTTCCCTCCTGAACTATCTGCCAATCTGATATCATCTTCAAATCCATTTGTACCACTGCAAGAGGGAAAACGTTCTAGAGAAGGTTTTCAAAGTGTACACTTGGTCACACTCAAAACAATGGTAGCAGATGTATATATCGCTATGGTTAATTTTATTTCTTTGATTATATATCAACATATCTACAAAAAGAAATTCACTTTAGTTAGACAGAACCTTACTTGATGTTATTTCATCAAGTGGTATTACCAGCTTTATTTGTGGTTTTTGTTTGTTTGTTTGTTTTTAATGGAGATAGAGAAGGCTGTCTCCCAAGAGTCTGGGGAAATTTGAGTTTTTATTCTTAATTTGTCAGTGAATGTGTGGTTTCGTAAAGTAATCTAAGACAATGAAGTGCGTTAACTAGTATGTTACTCATTGGGGTGGATTCCCATGTCTTCCTTGAGCAGAGGGCTTTAAATGCCTGGGGCCTAGGTTTCAATGAGGGCTATTCATGTTGGTCCTAAACCTCCTCCCTAAAGACTTTCATGATAACGCCTGGCATCAGTTTGGATTGACTCTTTGGTTTTCCTTTATATCATGATCTGCACCCCTCCCCTGAAACAAAAAAAGTGAATCTAAAGTGCAAGAAGCATCAGAGAGTGAGCCAATCTATAGTCACAGGGAAAGTTTCAATTTTTTGGACTCAGGATCAGCAACAACCTGTGCCTCAGGTTGGCCACCATTTTAGCCAACGTTTTTGTGGCTCTGGGAAAAGTTCAAGAAACCACAGTGTGGGTCCTGGCTTGGCCACCAGCCAGCTGTGTGACCTTGAAACTTCAGCCTCCCCTTTGGGCCCGAGTGTCTTATCTACAAGATGGAGAGTTAGATGAGGTGACCTTTCCCGCCTTCTGGCTCTGAAAGGCTCTGATTCTATGAAGCCCATGAGTCTTTCTGACACTAAAACCACATCATCACAAGAGATCAAAGGATGAAAGACTAAGTGCACATGGAGGTCAGATAACATCATTAAAGGCAAGTGCTTCCAAACACGAGGCTGAGCTCACAGCCACAGTAGCATCCGAGCTCTTTAAGATGAGCTGAAGCAGTGAAAGTGTTGCCATTATGCGAGGCCAGTGGCAATAGCACTAGTGGGTCAAGGATTTTTGTTCACAGTTGGCATATTTTGCCATCACTAGACACCACATCTAATACATTTTCTATGTCAATGGTTTTGTCTATTGAAAATGTAGACAGACATCAAGAAAGAAGCAAATAATAATAATAATAATGATAAGCTTCAAATTCTAAAGAGCAGATTTAAACGTCTTGAGAAGTTTTTGTGAAAACGTATTATTTCTTCACTGTAGAGTGCCCCAGACCCTCATTCAAAGACCAATCTAACCTACAGAAATAAATAAAAGAATTAATAGCTCACTTATTGAGCTCTTATTGTATGCTAGGCACTATTGTCAATATTAACAAATTTCAAAATTAATCCTTACAATAACCTTATAAAGTAAATGCGATTACTATTCACTTTATGCACTAGTACACTGAAGCCATGGACCCTGGCCTCTCGCTCTCAAGCCCAGGGCCCTGACCATTGCACCACATTACCCTCTAAACAGGAGAGAAGGGGTCTCAGACACAGACCTACCAAGAGGCTGAAAAAGCAGAGAAGGCAAAGTACCTGTAAAAAAGCCTGGGGAACTCAAAAAGCAGAAATTTGCATTCATTTGGAAGCTTAAGCAGGTCTATTTATTTATCTGCTTGTTTCCTAAAAGCTTCTATAGAACTTACCCTGAGCAGACACTATTCTCCTGACTTTACAAACTTAAATCACTTTATCTCTTAACAATACTATAAGATAGGGAGTGTAATTATACCCATTTTCTACGTAAGGAAATCCAAGCACAGAGAGGTTCAATAACTTGCCCAGGTCCCACAGCTAGTAAGTAGCCAGGATTTAGAACTGGGCAGACCCACTGTGGTGTCTGTGCCCTTGAGCACTGTGCTGTGCTGCCTGTCCCGGGTGCTCCTTTTATCTCCCCACTACATCACAATAATAGAGCTTCATTCATTCATTCATTCATTCATTCAGCAAGGTTACATAGCTGCCCATTCATTTTAATATTGCTGTAAGGCAATATTAAATATGCATGACTAATGACTTTCAATAAAAGATTAAACTTATTTGGGTATATTTGGTTAAGAAACTAAGATCCCCTGTACATTTTAGAAGGGTTCTCATTCATAATAGTCTATTTTTGTTGTCGTTGTTTCATTGTTTATAGTGTCAAATCTCAACTGTTTGAAAAATTCAGCCTCACTACTTTCAGACTCACCAAGATACTTGATTTGAGTTTTCACTGTATTTAAGATTAGGATAAAGTTATGTTAAAATGAGCCACTATATTTACCCATATTTACCTTCTGAACATACAGAAGTACCAAGGGAGAAGGTTGGTGTAATTTAATTTTATATATATATATATATATATATAAAAGCGTAATATGCTAATTAGACCGACGTCCTTCTGAAAAAAGCCGGGGCTGTAGCCGCAGCTGCAAGGGATGGATCCAGATAGCTGCAGGGGCTGCAAAGGCCTACTCTTGCATGAATTTCATGCATCAGGCCTCTAATATACATATATATATATATATAATTTATTTCCAGATCAAGAAATAAGCTCTCATCCGTAATTCCCTTATATAATTTCCTCCATCCTCAAGCAAAATAAATACAATGTTCAGCAGAAATAGAATTCTATGAGATTGACTACAAGTATTAGGAACCCTATAATGAACAGTTGATGTATCTCGTGTCTAAATTGTCAACTGTGCTTTCCCTGTTATTTCCTTTTGGTGTTATTGATGAGTAGACTATTTGCTCAGCATTAACATTAGTTTTAGATACTAGATCTAAAAAAAGGAGAAAATCCAACTTTTGCAGCCATCAGTCATTCAACAGGATGGTTTTCTCTAAGACAGCGGTTCTCAATCCATGGGTAGCAACCCCTTTGGCGGTTGAACGACCCTTTCACAGGGGTCACCTAAGACCATCCTGCATATCAGATATTTACATTACGATTCATAACAGTATCAACATTACAGTTATGAAGTAGCAACGAAAATAATTTTATGGTTGGGTCACAACATGAGGAACTGTATTTAAAGGGCCAGAAGATTGAGAACCACTGCTAATAGATTCCCTTTCACTTGTTTTTAAAAGAAGGGCATGCCTAGCCCATAGACATCTAACCCGAGTCTAGTCTGTGCTGATATCTGGTGACATCTTTTGAAGTGCCCGTGCATTCCTGCCTTGCCTTACACAATCAGAGTTATAGATTGTACCGCAGGATCCCAATTAGCGGAAACCAGTCAAGAGGAAAACACCATATTAGCCAGAGAATTTTTTATTTCAGTTGTAGAGTGTGATAACATACATGAAAAAGAAATTGCTACATCTCATGAAAGAAACCTGAGATTCATGAAAGAAACCTGAGAATTAGTTTAAAATGCACAGTTGTGTGCTGCAATGAGAGTGATGAGGGTCTTTGTTCAAAATGAGGACTGTTTGAGAGAGAGAGAGAGAGAGAGAGAGAGAGAGAGAGAGATTTCATTCTAAACCTAAATATGGCATCTGGCTTTTTTTCCACAGTTCTGGGATGGATCCGGCTGTGTATTTTCCAGATCAGCACAGCAACTTCAGATCTGTGACACCAGCCAGGCAGCCCGAATCCATGAGTCTGAAAGCCTCAAAGAGCATGGACCTTGGTAAGTGAGGGTGGATGGACCTTGGTAAGTGAGGGTGGGGTGACTTCCAGGTCAGCTCTCCAGCCTCAGCCCATCTGTCTTCCCTAATGTCCTGCCTTTCTTCTCACGGGGCAGGGCCTACTGAAGCCTAGAGCAGGGGGTAATGGTCATCCTATCTTCTCGCTTCCTCTCACATACTTCATTGCAATTATCCCTTCCCTGTTTAAAAGAGAGATAGATGACTTGTTTTTATAAAGTGGTCCATATAGGTCAGAAAAATATGATGACTCGTTCCGGAGGATGTGAACACCATTAGCATTTCACTCACCTGCCTTTGGACCTGTGCTCTCGCTTCTGCTGGAGCCTTTCCGTTGCTTACAGACACATGTGTTGCAGGGCCTGGGAAGATAATGTGGTTAAATGCATCCTCTTCCACAGGGTTTGCCCTCTCTGTGGGTGATGGGCAGGAATGGCAGCAAAGGACTCATGTCTTTAAATGCCCATCTCCCCATCCTGTAACCCTGGAGGGAAGAGGGGTCCTGGGTTTGCCAGACTGAGGGTGCCAGGGTTCCCTCGGTCGGTGCCTGAACAACTTCATTGAGGTTCTGAGCCCCTCAGGGAACCCGGTAGAGTGTTGGCTGCAAGGGCAGATCCAGGGCCCATGCACAAACCAGGCCCTGGAACGTGGCACCCTGGACACTTCAGATGCCCAAGGACATTGCTGCCCCATGGGCTTCTGGGGAGAGAAAATGTTTAGAGAGGAGCGTGGGTACAAAATAAATCCTCAGCGAATTATTCATTGCTTCCTGAATGCTCAGAGGCCATGCTTTGCCAATGTTTTTTCTTGAGGCATATTACATATTTCATTAGTAGCAAATAGTAGAAAATAGAATAATCAAAACTGCATGTTCTACAAAACAGTCTGATAAATAGTGCTTATCTGTAACTCATTTACAGGAGTTCAGAAAAATGTTCAATCATGATGAAACAAGAGAAATTCATCCTATTTTCTATAAATTAAACAGGTCCCTGGGACACATTTGCTCTAATCAGCTATAGTAAAAGACGGGTAGAAAGCCTTACCAAAGACACAGTCCTAGGCACTGGCAAAACGGGGTATTTTCTCTCATGTGATCCTTTGAAAAAACAGAGGAATAATGTGTGACAATGACATATGTTATTACTAATAATTTAAAGGGCAATTTATTTTCAGAGAGTGCTTGATAAACATTTCCTGTTCAGTCTTCCCAACTCCTCTATGATGAAGATGAATGGATAAAAAATGCTCTTCATTTTGGAGTAGAAATATATTACTGTTTTCCTCATATAATTTTTAAAAGTGGCCAGCAGTATGGTTCTAAAAAATCTGTGCAAAAGAAAACATAGCATCCATTTTAATTTAAGGGAGGAAAAATATCAAATCTGTATCCAGAAATGGTATTTCTTTTGATGTTTCTTGTTGCTGAAAAGTTTGATTTTAAGAGCCTTTCTCTCTCAAGTTGAAATAGTCCTTGCAAAATATGTATGGTGAGCAGTCACCCATTGCATTTCATCGTACTTATGCCATAGATGACAAGGATAATAGTAATGTTTGTTCAGCTTACAGAATTGGGCAGAGGCCATGAGCTGTTTTCTTCAGGACACTAATGCCCAACTAAGAGCATTGGCTAAAATGCACTCTACCGCAGAAGTGGTAAAATATTCTGTAAAAACATTTTTAAAGTAACCATCAACGTGTGGTCCCTTCCAGAAAGTGCCAATTGAAAGCTAACAGTCTTGCAAAGGGCTCTGAGGGTCACTATTAGAACTATTTTTCACAAAGTAAAAAAATAAAATAAAATAATTGCAGCAAAACAAAACCTCCTGTTTATTGTTTAATTAATTTATGTTGGATATTGCTCCTGTATAAAGTGAGTGGGAATCTCCAAAAGCTAAACAGGCCCAATCAGTACCTTCTTTGATTTGTTTGTTTCATTTTTTTGCTGCTGGGGCTAAGCTAGTATTAACTCGAATACTGATGAGTCATTGTTCATATGTTCAAATTACTTTAAGGTGAACAGGGTTCATTTACTTACTTTCACTTAGGTTTCCAAAGCCAGAAAATTCTGATCATAAAAAATAAAGCCTTCTCCTCCCCCATCTCCTTCCGCTATTCCCCAGACACAAACATAATTTTAAAATAGTTTGCTGTGTGCATCCTTCTAGATAGCACTCCATCTATATGCTGCCCCATCTACATACAAATGTCTATATCATATGTTGTGTTTCTTTATAAGATATGTATGGTGTTATGTTGTATGAATGAATCTTGATTTACAATTTACATTTCCCCTTTTGACTGAATTTAGGCTTCATTGAGAGTTTTAGGGACTTTTTATGTTTTGGGGGTTTGGGGGCCTATTTGTATTTCTTATTCTATAATTTTCTTATTCATGCCATTTGCCAATGTTTCTATTTGTTAATTCTTTTTTCTCTTCTTCAGAATATTATATATGTTGCAAATAATTTCTTACAATTTGTCTTTTTTAGCTTGAGGATGATATTCATTACTATAAAAAGGGTTTTGTCTTATAGTCAAATATTTTCATCTTTTCCTTCATGATTTTTGAGTTTAATACTTATTTATTTTCTTCTAGTACTTTTAAAGGCTTTTATTTTTTTTAGTGTGTAGCAAATTGTGATGTAATATTATCCATGGCTTATGAGTGGAAAATTTTTCTCCATGTAAATAGACAAATTAATAGTAACATTTATTGGCTTTTGCATCCCTTTCCCATTAATTCAGAATGCAGTCACATTGCACACGAAATTCGCTTACTGCCTGGGTTGGTTCCTAGACATGCTGTTCTATTGATATATTAGACTGTCCCATGCCAGAACCATCCTTTTTAGATTATCATGCTGTATTTTGATAACTTGCAGGACACTCTTCCTCTGATTTTTCTTCTTTGGTAAAATTACTTTGGCTCTTCATAGGCATTTATTCTCCTACATGAACTTTAGATCAGCTCATCAAAATAAATTTAAATATTAAACAGGAGAGTTTCTTTTTGTGTGTGTGCGTGTCCATCATCATGTTTGCTGATGGTTCCTGATAGAAATGTTTTCACCAAGTTGAATAAGTTTCTTTGTATTCCTATCTTCTTAAAAAGATTTTTGTTTGCTCATTTTGTTTAATCAGGAATGTATGCTGCATCTTATTAAGTGATTTTAATGATCTATATAGAATGATTATGAGAATTTTGTTCTTTATTCTATTAATATGGTGAGTTATATTAATAGATTCATCTAATATTTAATTTCTGAATGACTTGAAATTTTTCTCTGCACTTGTAAAAGGTATAAATGATTAATATTTTCTATGTGCTCTAAAACATAGGTATAAAACTCTAGTTATAATTTTACTCAGTGTCATTAGTTCCTATATATCCAGATTTTTTTGAGGCTCTTCTGCCTCAATATTTGGTGGATACTTTTGTCCGCATGCATGTGGCCACATTTAAGTAACATCAAGAATGATTAAAATAATGAATAAAAGGAAATTTATTTTTAAATAATTAGATCTAACTATGCCTATTCAAAGGGGTTAGGGTGTCATTTTCTGGGTTTTCCAGAAAATCAATCTTTTCCTACTAATTGTAGACTTTCCTCTATTTATTTAAATTACCAGAATTACTTTGTTCAGCCTGGATCCCTTTAATTTGTTCATAATTGAGCTTGGGTGGGTGTTGAGTTGGAAGCTCTCAGGAGCTGAATAACACAGCTGCCTCTTTGGCCTTTGGCATAGGGTTTTCCCCCAAAGAGCTGGCCTTGTTGGCAGTATGCCAGAGAGTTACAGTCAAAGACTTTTTGTTGAGAACTAAACATCTTTAATTTCCAGGCCTGGTGTTTTATGACCCAGTAATACTTTTTAAGTATTCGTCTGAGTTATTCTAGGGACAGCATTTCAGTATTTTGGCCCATTCATTGATCTAATCTGTAGCTCAATTCAAAGTTAAGTTTAAAATGTTATTTCACACAAGATTTCTTTTTTTAATGTTTTCTCTCCTGTTTCAAATCGGCCTCTGAGTAGTACTCCTATTTCAGAAGGGCGTCCTGTAACACAGTTAGGAGAAGCTGAGGGCGGTGCAGATGGGAGATGCTGGCCAGCTGTCTGGCCCAGTGCAATGAGAGGAAATGAGCTCTAAGTGATGCATGAGGCATTCAGGCAGCATTTCCGGAAGTTTCCTGACAATGAAGATTGTTAGCATTACATGTCTCTTTAAAAAGTGCCTGTGTTAGGAGTCCCTAAAATCAAGACGATAAATAAACTGGCTGATTTTCCTTTGGGTTCAGTAATTTTATTTTGTGAGTTGCTTGTTCAAAATTTGTCTTAAGACAGAAAATATTTGCAGACACTCACAGCTGAAGTAAATTATATATCAACTGATTTATCATATCAACAAAGATAAATATTTGGTTCACATTTTGAATATAACCCCTTCATAAATATCAGACATTTCCATCAGAGAGTAGTTAGGCATCTAGTTTCAGATCGAAGATGGACATGAAAAAATTAATTAACCCCACTCTACTTTTATATTTAATTTTTAAAATTAATTTTTTGTGTAGTGAAATACTTTTTTATACATTGTTAGTAATAAGACAAAAATCCTGAACACTGAATGTATCAGAGGATTTTTATTAAAGTGTATGTTCTAATAACTATAATGCTAGTTTATAAATTATATTAATATAGTACATAAATATATATTAATAAATATAAATGTTTGTTTATACATATGGATCCTCTTTATTGATCATCAATAAGTAATACCTCTGAAGATGGTAAAAGCTGAATCAAGAACTGCTATTTAAGATAAAACTTTGACCCATTTAAAAATAAAAGGCCTGGTTGGTAAAGAAGAACTAATAGGAACACCAAAAGTGTCTACCATCTCTAATAAATGAGGAAGAGTGTACCGATACAGTCAGGTGTATACCCTAAGCTTTAGGAAGTCCAAATAAAGGAATTACCCAGA